CTAGTCAAAGACTACATCTCTAACTAGATACCTTACTCAAATTGGTCATTCAACCATGACATGGATAAACTACTTCCATGTCGCTCACACAGTACTAAGGGATTCAACTTTAAAACAACTTTCAACTTATCACCTTAGTACTATGTATCTTAACATAGGATATATATCTTCACCATATGTCCCCAACTTTTTAACTTTAAAATAATGCGACAATAGGCATCTTACAACAATAGGCAACTTACAGCAATACAATAATAGGCAACTTATACAACTTTACAGCAATAGGCAACTTATACAACTTTAAAAAACTTTTACAACAATAACTACTTCAACTTATACATCTCAACTTATTAATAATTCAACAATAAACAACATAAAAAATAACTTAGTTTCACCAAATACACAACGTATAGCAACTTTCACAATATATCACATATTATCAACACACAACATATGAACAACTTAAGCCAACAACTACTCAACTCATTTTCGTCAGGCAACTTAGCAACTTTACAACCTTATAAATAACTTCAACAATATACAACATATTCGACACAAATTACAAATCAACCATTAATTTAAATAAACCATCTCTTTTCTTTCAAACAACAAAAAACCAACTTTTTAACTCAATCTGCACTCAACAACTTAACCATTTTCAAGGAATATATTACATGAAGCATCCCTAACTTGAAGATTGGCTCTAAAATCCAAGAATCTAAGAGGAAGAAGAAGAAGAAGAAATATATGAGCTCGACTCTTGAACTTCAATCCTCCCAAAAGTAAGCTTTCTAGTCTAAAATTCAAGGGAAGACAGAAGAATTAGTGACCTAGAGGAGAAGAAGAATTATACAAAGAAAGTTGAGAGAGAAACGAGCTCACAGACCTAGATTCCTTCTCTCTAGAACCTCTCTCTAAAACCTCGCCTCCTCAACTGCACATAGGTCATATTTATAGAAATTTAGGAGTGGCCAGAATGACCCATTTTAATCCAGAATGGCCCGTTCTGAACTCAAACGTTATGTGTAAAATTTACATCCAGAACGGCCCGTTCTCAAACCAGAACGGGTTGTTCTGGGGTTGCATTTTCACCTGTAATAGCCAATTTGGAACGGCCCCATTCTCAAATAGGGTTTTTAAGCCAATTTAGTATTTTGGAACGGCCCGTTCCAATTTGGGAACGACTCGTTCTGGGCTACTAAATTACCCTTATTTTAGTAGTTTGGAACGGACCGTTCTGGGCTACTAACTACGTTACAGTTATGATGTTATGAGGCATGGTCATATGGATTGAAAGGTTGTTTAAGGTTGTATGATGCTATGTGGTATACGTAAAGTTGGTTCATGTACAGGGTATATGAAGTAAATGGTGATGAATTCGTACATGCTTAGGGATGGTATATATGAATGTTTAAAGTAGGTATTCTAATATGGTTTGATATGAGCGTATGTTGATATGTGGATATATGACGTTAGGGATCAATTAGTGAATGTTTGTGGGTTTAGTAAGATTGACCTTAGGGTGTGATATCATCATATTGGAAGTTAAGGGTGAAGATGTATCCATGACAGTTTTACAATGTTATCTAAGTATGATTTTTGGTTGTATGAAGTGAGATTTCTAGGTCTTTTAAATTTTAGTGGAGGTATAATGTAGATCTATCTATGGTAGACGTTGTGCTTAAGTGGGAGATACTTAAGTCAATTAGTGAAGTTAAGAGTTTTCTTAGATTAGTTTATAGGAGAGTTATTGAGGAAATTTCTAAGATAGCATTATCTTTGACTAGATCGACCAGGAAGAGAGAGTTGCCTTTATGTGGGATAATGAGTGTGAGAGTAGTTTTCAAACTCTTAAGGAAAGATTGACTAGTGTTAATATTACCGGATTTTAGTAAGCTTTTGTGGTATATAGTGATGCTTCTAAGATGGGTTTGGATGGAGCGTTGATGCAAGAAGGAAGGGTAGTAGCTTATGTTTCTAGGCAATTGAAAATTCATTAGAGGAATTACCTTACCCATGACTTTAAGTTAGTGGTTGTAATATTTATACTAAGATTTGGAGACGCTACCTATATGATTCTAAGCTTGAGGTATTTAGGATCATAAGAGCCTTAAATATCTTTTGACCAAAGGAGTTGAATATGAGACAAAAGAGATAGTTGGAATTTCTTAAGGAATAAGATTTTGATCTTATTTTTTATTTGGGCAAAGCCAATGTGGTGACCAATGTTTTGAGTAGGAAACATTTGTATGTATCTTCCCTTATAATTAGATAGATAGATCTTTTGGCTCAAATTAGGGATTTAAGTTTGACTGGTGAGATTACTCCTAGTAGTGTGAAACTAGGTATGACTCGAGTAACAAATGGATTGTTGAAGGAAATTGGAGAAGCATAATTAGTTAATTTATTTTGGCGACAAGACATGAGGCTATAGGACAAGGTAGTGGATAAAAGTTTGCCTTGGGTATAGATGGAGTGGTAAGACTTGGAGACCGAGTATGTATACCTAGTGAACTTATGCTTAGGCGTTTGATATTTGGAGAGAGTCATAGAAGTAAAACTAATATTGTGGCAGATGCCTTGATTAGGATGACCATTCACTATCATCTTCGATGATTTAAAGGTTGAATTTGATTGGGAAAAAAAATTTAGACTTAAGCTTGGTGTGTGAGCTTGCCCGTAGGAGCATTGAATTGAGTGTGTTACAAGTGAACCAAGTGAAGAGGATTGGTAGACTTATAGTAGCCCTTACGAGTGGAAGTTGATGGTGTTTTGGGGTTCAAGGATAGAATTTATGTACCTAGTAATCCCGAATTAAGGAAGATGACCTTAGAGGAAGGACAAAAGAGTACTCTTAGCATTCATTCAAGAGCTACTAAGATGTATTAGAGTGGCACAGTACTAGTGGAAGCATGGTGGCGTAAGGTGAAGAGAGGAGTAGAGAAATTTGTGTACTTGTGTGTATTATGCCAAAAGTCTAAGGTAGAACACTAAAAGTCTTTAGGATTTTTACAGCCTTTAGACATCCTATTTTGGAAGTGAGATGGCGTGTAGATAGACCTTGGTTGTAGGTTTGCCTAAGATGCTTAAGAAATTTGATTCTTTTTGGGTTATAGTGGATAGACTCACCAAGTTTACATGTCTTACCCTTATTGATAATAGATATTCCTTGGAGAAATTGATAGAGTTGCACATCAATAAGGTAGTGAGGTTACATGGGAATTAGAAACCAAGATGCGAGGAGCCTACCCATTTCTGTTTTCAAGAAAATTTTGGGGACAAAATTTCAAAAAGGAGGGGAGAATTGTAACACCCCGATTTCCACAGATTATATGAAGGCACAAAGCCCAATAATGGTGATTTAGTAGCCCAGAACGGGTTGTTCCCAAATTAGAACGGTTCGTTCCCAAATTAGAACGGTTCGTTCCAAACTACTAAAAAGGCTTATAAACCCTAGTTGGGGACGGGCCGTTCCCAACTGGAACAAGGCGTTCCAAATCACCAAAAAGGCTTGTAACCCTAGTTGGGAATGGGTCGTTCTGGTTTAAGAATAGGTCATTCCAAACATGGTCGTTATGGGTTAAAAGGCGACCCTAGAACGGGCCGTTCTGATTTAAGAACGGGTCGTTCTGGATGTGAATTTTACAGATGACGAATAAGTCTAGAATGGGTCGTTCTGGATTCGAAACAGGTCGTTCTAGCCACTCCTGATGCTTATAAATAGCACACTCTAGCACTCCCAAAAGCACACTTTTCACTTCTGACTTCTTTCCCTTCTACACTCTCTAAAGACCAAGGGAAATCCAGAGGAGGAGACCAACCAGATCCTGCTTTAGTTTCAGCTACTGCTTATCAGGGTATGGGGAAAAAGGGATTATTTGTATGTAAAGTTACATGAGGGAATGGGGTAGAGGAGGAATCCCGTAGGATTATGGGTAATTTTAGAATTATTTTTGTTTGAGAAATTGATGATCCCATTAAATTTTGTATGTATTGAGGATTAGGATTATGTAATTAATTTGTAAAAATGATGATCTAGGAGAGAGAACGAAATTGTAGAAAAGTGTCTGTGAGTTAGGTTTTGGAAAAATTGAGGGTTTTACTATTTGATTTAAGATTCTATGAAATTGATTATTCAATTGGGTTTCATATTGATTTATAAATGTTATTGTTATATTATTTGGTAAAATTTATGATCTAGATGATAATTGGATTCATTGGGATGTGCTCATATTATGGCTTAATTGTTCAATTAATTATGATGTGAGTATGTTGCCATGAAATGAGATGTTTTGCTAAATGTGAATATGATATGATTGTGGTTCCTCACACTTATGTCGGGGCTAGCACGACTTTGGACAAGAATGCTACAGGGGTGGCGTGACCTTGGCATAGTGTGGGGGGTGTGATTCCTCACACTTATGTCGGGGGTGGCACGACCTTGGGCAAGAGATGCTATAGGGGTGGCGTGACCTTGACTCGACCTTGGGCAAGGGATGCTACAAGGGTGAAGTGATCTTGGCACGACCTTGGGCAAGAGATGCTACAAGGGTGGCGTGGCCTTGGCATAGTGTGGGATGTGTGATTCCTCACACTTATGTCGGGGGTGGCACGACCTTGGGCAAGAGATGCTACAGGGGTGACGTGACCTTGGCACGACCTTGGGCAAGAGATGCTACAGGGGTGACGTGACCTTGACATAGTGTGGGATGTGTGAAGTAATTAACACTTATGTCAGTGGTTGCACAACCTTGGGCAAGAGATGCTACAGGGGTGGCGTGACCTTGACATAGTGTTAATTGCAAGATTTGTGATGAATTGGTGTGATTGTGAATTGTGATGTGAAGATGATGCATGATTGATAGAATTAGGATATATAGAAATGTTTGTAAATATTTCATTAAGTAATGAGTTATGATGAGATTATGTTGTAGATTTTCCTTGTGTGCTTTACATATAGATGTTTTCTTTTCTCACCGTACAATTTGTGGACTTTTTAGGTGAGGAAGATCTGGCTTTGAGTGGCATCTAGAATGCCAACAGTTGAATTTTGGGTGTGCTTTGATATTGTAACATCGGGGTAGAGGATTTCTAGGACATGGATTTTTATATGTAGTTGGAGTTGTACTTATTATTTTAAAAATAATTTGTAAACTCTTATGTTTATTTTCCAATTTTTATTTTCAATATTATTTTGGATATTGAAGAACATTTATGAAGGTTTTTATGTGAACCATTTTATCAATGTTGAAAAGGCTTATTTCCTTAGTTTATTTACATTATTACAATATATGTGTTGAGATAGTAAGGGTGTCACAATCTTAGCCATTGCAACAATCAAATTATGCAACTAGAGAGAATTTTATAAATTCATAGGTAAGCGTTCATAAATTATAAACTTGCCTTCCGCTTCTCTAAGCTTCTTTTTTAATGTTTTCCTCAGACCCTCCACTTATTTTTTGTTGTTTCATACCTTTACTTCTCACAAGATCCACATTTGTAGATCTTAAAGCAAAAATTAGTATGTTCTTGACTTAAAGCTTTACTAACACTCGTGCGAGAGCTTCCACCTGATACATAGATGTTATTAGATCCCCTTGTTTATTGTCTGAATCGTTGTTTATCATTTTCACTCACGTTGTGATCTAATGCTTTGTTACGCAACTATCCTCATCTCCTCATTACTATCTTCTTCTTCATCTTATCTTAATCGAGGTTTAAATTCTTCTTTTCTTTTTCTAGAGTCAATTTTCTTTTCTTTTTTTTTTCTCTGATAAGTTTCATTATATTCTCCCTAATAAATGACGTGACTCTTGGATAACCTGCTACCTGATTTTTATCATGTGTTATGTGTTGCTTCAATCTTGTAATGTCACCCCTTATTATAGTCTGACAGAGTTTACATTGGACAATGTTGCGATTTCTTGCTATAGGTACTCCAAAATGTCATCTAATATCCTCATTTAGAGCACCTTCTAGTCTTCTTATAATAAATTCTTTACTTGATGCATTGTGTATATATATCTGTATAGAATTTTAAAAGTATAATATCAATCAATAATTAAATTATATTTCAAACTTCATAACAATGGTTAATTAATAAATGAGTATAAAACTAAAACTAAATATAAACAAGCTCATATTAATATGCATAAAACTAGGCTAAACAGATTATTATAAAAAAAATCACAAAATATTCTAGTAATCATTTCCATGTATTATAAAAATAATACTAATCTAATATAAAATTAAAAGATTAATAATTTATCATTATTAATATTATAATTAATACTAATCATTTACATTTATTTCAAATATAAAGAATGTTGATCTAATCTAAGTATTTATAAATATTAATTATTTACATATATTATAAATAAACTTTAATATAGTCTAAGTATTTATATTTATTCATATTTTATCATTTAATAGTTAATAAAAAAAATCAATTCTTTTAATTATTTTATAGCAACAAAAATTTATTTCCCCTAAAATGCCCACTCTATAAAACTTTTCAAAAAGAATTTATCTCAAAATTCTTGTCCAAACACCACGTCACTTATAACCTACCCAAGCACGCAAGCACCACGTCCTCCAAATTCACAAAAAGCTCTCCTACTCAATTCCCAAATTTTTAATCACGCACATGTCTCTCCCTTTCTACCAAGCGGTGCCAATTTTTTTCCCACCCATCTTTTCACACTACACAAGCAATCATGGTGCTCATTCAAAATTAGTATCAAAAAGTTTATTATTTCATTTTCAACAATTTTGAGAAATAGGACCTGCATCATGACAAATATCAAACTTGAGGCATGGAGGGTAGGATGGGCAAAACCACAAGATTCCAAATGGAAACAGCTACACAACATTTTATGTATGAAGTTATAATGAACTATTAATTATGTTGCTTTTTCATTTAGTACTTTGGGTAACCTTTCTTTTTTTTTTTTTTTCTCTCCCTAATCTCCCTTGTATATTTGAGGTGCATTGAGCCAAATACTATATTTCTGTTCTTGGATTTTGTGGCCAACTTTTGCACCCTTATAACCATACTGTTTCTCTACTCTCAAACAGACCCAACCCTTATATAACCATACCATATCGTTTCTCTACTCTCAAAATAACCCAACCCGGAATCAATTTCTAGCATAGATCAACACCAATGACAATAAGAAACAAAGAGAAATAGAGATAAGAGGAAGAAAACTTACAGCTAACAAGGAAAAAACTCGGTGTCTTGGAAGCTTGGTTGCTACTTATTATAGAGGATTATTCGCAGTTTCACACAAAAAGTAAGTTTCCAAGCTTCTAAGTTACCATTTTTATTTTTTTAAGTCATCTTCTATACATTATTGATCTACAGTAATTCTCCCTAAAATGATTCTCTGAAGATTGTCGTCACTTTTTTTATTTTCTTTTAAAAAAAGTGAACAATGAACAGTTACAATGTTAATTTGTCATATTACGGATGTGTTGTGAACGCAACACCATTATATTACAAAAAAGTGAGTGATTTACGGTCTCACTACAATTGCGGTCTAATGCCATTGTAAACAAGGTTGCAACCGCAATATTGGCTGTATCAATGCGTGATGTGCTCCACAATTTAAAACCTTGGATTTCTACAATTTTTTTAAAACCCATCCCAACCCAACCCGATCTCGAATGAGTTGGGTTGGATCAATTAGATCAACATAATTATATTTATTTACTTTTTATAAAATTTAGATAGTTTAAAATACAAGTAAATAATTTAATACATTATTGTAAATACAATGTTATCAACCTATAAAGTAAACAATGATACAAACTTAATTCTAAAATAAATTATTTAATTTGTTACATTATTATCAACTCAAAAAATCAAAAGTAATTGATACAAATAAAATAAAAATGTTATATTGTTACAATGCTAACAACCTAAAAATATAAAACTCATTATTGAGTAAAAGTGGCCGTGAATATTATCTTGAGCAAATAACCATTGAAAAATTATTATTATTATTATTATTATTATTATTATTATTATTATTATATGATTGATTCGGGTTAAGTCATGGGTCAAAAACACAAAATTTGTTACCTGATTCATATAGTGTTAAGTTTTTTTTATTGAGTTGGATTGAATCAGACTCGAATACTGAAAAATTTGATGCAAATTCATTAGACCGATTTGGATCAGTTTAGATCGACGAGTTATTTGTACCCACTTATGCCATTACCGAGATATCAAACTTTAATGTGGAGGGAGTAGTATGAGTTGCCCCGATTCGTAAAGAAAAATGGAATGAAAATGGATTGAACAATTATTCTAGTTAAAGATTATGGTTGTGAAATGGGACATGAAAACATTGTCCCAAGGTGAAATAGTTACTCCTAATTTAGAGTTGGGGTAGTATAATTAAAGGATAAATTAATTATGGAATGAATCATGAAGCAAAGGTCTCCTTTAGCTTGGTAGGCTAGAATCAAAAGAAGAAATAAAAAGAGGACGGACTATAAGGACGAAATGACATATGATTGACCCCCAATCTATCCTTTTATGCTCATTGGAATGATTCTCGGTTGTAATGAACTTAATTAACAGTCAATATATTGTCATACAAAGGAGTATGCATTGATTTTGTTTTTCTTGAAGGGATATTGGTCGTGCAAGTCTCAGCATTGGTCTTCCTCTTTCCTTCTTTTTTTTTTTCTTATTCTTTTTCTCTCTCTCTTTGGATCAAACATGTTGACAATAATAAATGGGTCAAGCTATTAAGAAAACAAAAATACTTAATCATTGATCAATATAAACTTTATTGGGGTTGTAATGTGGCCAGTGGGTAAAAGGGATATGAAAGAAAGGATATAAAGGAAAAGTTATTTGAGACAAGGATCTTTTTTATAGTGTTGCTTTTGATGCCTTATTCTTTTTCTAATCCCTATACCTTTCAATTATTTGGCTATTTTTCTTTATTGTTATTTTTTCATTGTTTTGACAAAGTTATGAGTAAGCTTGATTCAATGTGAACACTATGTTGTAAATGTATGGAGGACTAGCATATCTTTAGATATGTGGAGAAATGTTAGTTAAGAGCATATTAAAGTTAATTATTTGTCAATGGATATAAACAATATTATTTGTTAAAAGTTAGAAAAAATTGTGTTAGTTTTACTGTTCTTTATTATTTATGTTATATTTTTTTTATTAATTCCTGTAGCATTAAATGTGTTTTATAAATTCATGTTTTTATGTGAAATCTTTTAATATTTATGATATAAATCCATCAAAAATTCATTAAAATTCATCAAAATCTAAATTATAAATTCTTGATTAAAACCCATGTTTTAAAAATGTTTTTAAAAAAATCTTAAAAACCTTTTAAAACTATTTAAATTCATAAAAATTTTATACTAAAATAATCTTTCAAAATTCCAATATATCCAACAATCTCCTTAGTTTCTTAGATGTTGTCACTTATCATGAATATGACAATAATACACTTTCATGAACTAAAATATGATGTAATCCACTTGTAATTGAAATCAAAATAACGCATGAAAAACATTTCTTTTAATGCAAATTTTATATAAAAATTCGCAACAAACATTATTCCTACGAATTCTTCTGCAAAATTTTATCTACAAATAACACATTCGTAGATAATATGTTTTTACGAATTTTAAAATTTGTAAGAAATTTTTCTGCGAAAAAAATTTGTAGAGAAGTTTCTTGCGAATTTTTTCGTAAGTTTCTTACAACTTTTTTTTGCAAGAAATTCTGTAGGAAAATTTCTTACAAAAAAAATCAAAACAATTACTAGTTTTTTGCGAATTTCAAGTGCTCACAATGAATTCATCTGAATTCACTTCCACATCTCCATCATGTGATACATAACCTTTTAAACTCATAGATTGTAGATTATAGATTTAACATTCAATCATACAAATTCAACTTGTAAGGCAAGTGTTGCCTCCAACTTATAAATTATTTAATTTTTTTTATTTTCAATCAATGTGAGACTTGAAATTTTATTTAAATATTAATTAGATCATGTTTTTAGAAATAGGATTAACTCATTATATTCAACAACAAAAATATGTTATTATAAATTATTTTAACTCTTTAAATATATAATATTCTAAAAAAGTTAGTTTTTTTTATTAAGTAATTTTATTTTAAAAACTATAATTCAATTAAAACTCATCATCATTAATTTATACATTTAATTAAAATAAATATTTAA